CAAGAGGCAAAAGGTCCTGTAGTACCATAGAATACCTGTCCTCCCACTGAGCGATGTAGAATCCATGACGATCCCTCCATTCTACGTCTGTCTTACCAGTAATGCTAATCGTCAACAGGTGAAGACAACTAATCAGAGGGTGTGGAATAGGCTGTTGATATCCAAACTGCCGTAGAACTCGATCGGGCTGCTGGTAAGCAACGATCTGGTAACAAATAAGTGGACACATAGAAATCCATCTGCGCGCGGTGCCAAAAGAGGTGCATTAACTTCGAAGCCCAGGTACGGTCTCCAACGAAAATCTTGTCTACGCATAACATCCATACGATGGCGGTACCTGCGAATGTGTGTAAACACAGTTTGCCGCACATCATAAAAGTTAAACCTGCAACAATTTGGCCACATGTATTACCATACTACAACATTAAAAAATTAACAACCTGCAATTTGAATAAGTAACATATACAACAGTGCTATAACCTGGCTCCATAAATGGCATGCGCATCAGACACCTCGGGTAGTGGAGGAGAGATAGACGAGAATCTAGTCCTCGCCCATAATTGCAATAAGAGTGCACAACCACCCATTTCTAAACGTCTCCTGTCAGTCACTTTGCACAATTCCTTATATAAGAAGGCAAGAACTGCAGAGCCCCAACTGAAGGTTCCACACCGCTGGAAATTGTCCAGATATAATAAATATCTGGCAAGAATGAAGCTGGAGGCCGTGTCCACAAACAGGGTCCCACCTAGTATGCGCAAAATTAATGCGCGAGTATATCTCATACGGTCAACCTCAGTGGCAGCATGGCCTCCATAATGCTGAAACCTCTCCCGTAGGAAGTGGAGACCCAAAAAATCTCCAGACAGATCCCTACCAGCCACTAGATTAACTCCTAAGAAGTCACTAACCATATGCCTAAATGGATGCCGTCCGTGGCGCCCGGACACAACCTCACCATTAGTGGGAAATCCTAGTAGATGATGCACATCCTCCAGGGTAATGGTGACCTCGCTCATAGTCATATGAAACGTCCGTGTCTCTGGGCGCCATCGCTCGACAAACACAGACACAAGTGCATGGTCTATCTGAAATCATAAAAATATGTTGTCAATCAGCAATGAAAATATTATTAGAACAATGCCATATTCCAAGGTTTTTTCGTAGTGACACAATAAAAAATTACTAACCTCATGGTTGCGCAAGCGCGCAATATGGTAGAACCCAGCCTGCATCAGCCATGGCTGAATCACCTCGAGAATGTCAAGGTGATTATGCGTCGCAGCATGTCGCACATTAATCACACGATCTTGGACATTCTGGTCTTCACAGGTGTTCCACACATGTGTGGATATACGTTTCTTCTGTAAAGTCAGGGGAGTACGGTCTTCCGGCCCAGGGTCAATCACGCTGCGTGGAGACCCAGGACGAGGTGCTTCATCATGCTCCATAGATCTATTAAAAAGAATAATTAAATCATGCTAGCGATAATTTAAAAGTTAAAGTGCATAAATAATTAATTAAAATATTATAATGCATAACAATTAAAGGATTACAACTATTTTTTTATGACTTACATAAATTAAATAATTATGGAGCTATATAAATTAAATTATTAACCTCAAATAATATTCATAAACAAAGAATTCATAAAAATTTAACTAAATAAATTAATACAAAACAATTAAATAGGTTAGACCCAATTTAAGTTTATGCTTTAAATAAATTAAAAAAATTTCTAACCTAACGTTTCTAAATCAACACTAACTAATATTCAAAAATGTATTAAAGCATAAATAATAAATTAAATAAATTAAACCTAAGGTTTTATGTGTTAATAAATTCACATAATTACCAACCTAAGGTTTCAAATATCAAAATTAAAAATATTTATACATTATTAAAGTTTAACTAATTAATTAAAAAATTATATTATTTAGACATAACCATTTATACGTAAAAAAAATTAACACATTTACTGTCCTAAGGTTTCAAAGATCAAAATTAAAAAATTCCATATAAATTATTAAAGTAAAAATCCATTGAAACAAAAACTAAATTATTTAGACCTAACCATTCATGCGTAAAATAAATTAACACATTTACTAACCTAAGGTGTCAAATACCAACATTAAATAATATTCAAAAAATATTAGAGCATAAATAAAAAATTAAATAAATTAGACCTAACCTTTTATGCATTTATATAAATTCACATAATTACCAACCTAAGGTTTCAAATATCAAAATTAAAAAATATTTATAAATTATTAACGTTTAAAAATTAATTAAAAAATTTGATTATGTAGACCTAACCATTCATTCATGCGTAAAATAAATTAACACATTTATTAACCTAATGTTTCAAATACCAACATTAAATAATATTCAAAAAATATTAGAGCATAAATAAAAAATTAAATAAATTAGACTTAAGCATTCAAGCGTGAAATTAATTAACACATTTTACTAGCCTAAAGTTTCAAAAACCAAAATTAAATAACATTAAAAATGTATTAAAGCATAAATAATAATAAAAAATAAATTATACCTAACCATTTATGCATGAAATAAAATTACCACATTTACTAACCTAAGGTTTCAAATATCAACATTAAATAATATAACACATTTACTAACCTAAAGTTTCAAGTATCAACATTAAATAATATAACATATTTACTAACCTAATGTTTCAAGTATCAATATAAAAGAATATAACACATTTATAAAAGCATAATTAATAAATCAAATATATTACAAAAGCAACACACAAAAATAGCTAACCTTGTAGAGTGAGAAACCACTTAGAGAGAGAGAGGGAGTGAGGTAGAGATTGAGAGGAAAGGGTAGGGTAGGGTGGGGTGGGGTGGGGGACCGGGGAATTTAAATATAGAAACATATGCACATAATTCGCTACCCTGTGTAGTAAATTTGTGCATGGTTGACACGTGTCTGACATGCGCAGTGGAGCAGGTTACCGTTGCCACATATTTCGCTACACAGTGTAGCGAAATATTGGTGGCTTGACACGTGTCCATCATGTGACTGTGCAGTCTGACCATTTGTCTACGTATTACGTGGCCATTAAGGAGGTGACACATCAGCAGGCATAATTCGCTACATTGTGTAACGAATTAGCCCGTGTAGCATTCTGGAAATTTTTACTGTACGCGTAATATTTTGATAAATAATATGATGAACAGTGACAAAATGGTCACTAATGTAATGAAGGTTTTGGAGGTAAAAGAAATAGATTTTTTTTTAAATTGAGAGAGTTATAAAAATATTTATAAAAATAAATAAGATATGATTGAAATATTAACGATGATATCTTATTTTAGTCATTTCACTTTAAAAAATTCTTAAATAAAACTATTTGCTGATCACGTGATCTACTTACACCGTATATATTAGAAGAATCGGTCTCTCGTACGGTCGTACTAAAATTTCGTGGATGGCGCCAAAATGACGGCGGAATTAAAGAACTTGAAGTATAGAGATAAATCTGAATTTGTTGGTATTCCGTATTAACTCCACTTTAGATAAATCAAAGATAATAACGAGTCTAATGATAAATTGTTTTACTACCATCCTTTAAGTTGACTTTTAACCGCTAAACCGATGTACAGATCAATCAATGACCTAATGTTCACAAATAAAAAGTCACTATTTACATGCAGAGAACATGTCAATCTTAAGAGGTTTTAATGTTCAAAATATACTAGCTAGTTGAAACTATTGAAACATTTACAAAAAATCTTAGCAATATATACTTTAATATATTTTTATTGGTTGAATGAAACTTATATAAATTTTATTAAACAGAGAATGAGTTGAATTTATTTAGTGGCACTTATGTAAAAGTTACTAAAGAATGATAAAAATGTATTATAAGGCCTAGAAAATTGGACGATCGACATGATTTGACCAGAAAAATCAGCAATTCAACTTCTCTCAATAAATATATTATAGCAGACAACGTTTTCTCCACGCATATCAGCGAGTGATCTAGAGAAAATCTTTGCTACAACTGCTACTTTAGGTACATTTATACCAAAAGAAAAAAAAATGGACTTAAAAAAATTATACAAAAAAGTATTGGCAAAATAAATTTTTTTCTTTTTTATCAAAAGGCGTAGTATTAAAGAAATTTTCCACGATTAGGTGAGAAACAACATAATTAGGTAGACTTTTTACACCGGGAGTCCATAAAAATTAAACTAAAGAAAAAAAATACATCTCCCTTTCTTTTTTTACCCATGAGCTTAGTCATTTTTTTTGGTATGTGCTTTAATTATATTCATATATTTTTTTAACTTCTCCACCTGTTCATCCAACTAATTCAATCAAGCCCGGTAAAATCTCAAAGGCATATTTGATGCATAGTATAGAATAAGGCCTGATGATAGTCAGGCCAAATAATTAAAAATGTCATAACATATAATATAAGTTTTATACTATCAAACCTTATACGTCATACCAAACATGCCCTAAATGCATACTCAGAATTCAAATTCTAAAATATTGATTAAGTTGGAATAATCATTTATTAATTGATCTACGTACTTGTTAGTTGTGCCCATATTTATCTAGTGGCATAATATTCAGCCCGTCATTAAAGTCTGACATATTCTTGTTGCTTATTTTAAGAAAAAAGTGTGTGTCATTTTAAAGGATGTAAAGTTGTGTAATTTTAAGAAAGTGAAAGAGATAGATAAAGGAGGAGAGAAAGAGTTGACAAAAAAAAATAAAGATATGAGTCCCACCTCTTTATAGAAGTGAAAGGATATAAATTGTGTCATTTAAAATGATAAATATTTTTCCTTATTTTAATTATTCTTTGATAACGTAAATTTTATTTTTGACCTTAAACATGTTCAACTATATGCTCATGATAAGGAAATTATGAGTGACAAAGAAAAGATGGTTCTAGCTTTGAAAGGAGAAAATCAATCCATTTCCAAAAGTCTATGCCAAGATAATACAGACAAGCGTTTATTATCAATGACTTCAGCATATGTTGTTGTCAATGCCATGCAACATATTATTTATTACCATCATACATCTTATTAACGTCATGGTTCAAATAGATTACAAAAAACCCTTTTCCTTGCAGCATTGAATTCCATCATCAAACATTTCCTCAAGGCCATACTTGAACTCGAATCCAGCATCCATGAGTTTTTTCGACGTTAAATGTGGAAGCTTGGGACCTTTAATTTTTTTCACCTCCCTGGAAGAAGAAAATAAATTAAATATTTGTTACAATAAAAAGAGAGATCATATAAATTTAACAAAGTTTTGTCTATGGAGAAGGACATGATAGAACTCACTCTAGTGATGGTATTTGAAATTCTGGGTATTTGGTAGAAAAAATTTCAGCTATTTCTTCAACAGTTACAACGCCTTGTGAGCAATTATATCTCCCTTTTGGATTAGGATGTTCAAGCAAGAATATATGTGCTCTAGCTACATCATCAACATGCACCACATGGGTACGAGATGCTGTCAATGGGTTCTTGTCACCTGCAGCATCCATTTATTTATGTTAAGAATATTTACATGGAAAAGCTAAATTTGAATTTCTTGGTTTTTTATCGTGAATTCCACATTAGATAAAGTCACGATAATAACACAAACTTATAAAATGTTTAACTATCACTGTCTAAGTTGATTTTTAACATCAAAATATTTATGCCAGTGTATTTTTTTTCCACGTTTATTTGGATAAGACTAATCTCTTTCGTCGTTAGAGTACAAAAGATTTTGTCGCTGGCCCTAAATTATTTCATCTAGGAATCAAATCAAAGACCTTTCAGCTCCAATAGTTCGCTTTTTGGGCATAACTCACGTACCAAGTATGCCACCCCTCAGTATTAATCACTGATGTACTTACAAGAGAATATAGTGTAACCTAATGTTCTCCCGGAATACATAGTGTAATTTGTAAACGAAAAGTTTGTAAATATAATTCTCCCCAAAAACATTTTATTCCATAAGTTTCACTTTTCATAAGGTTTTTAATTTACCTTCAAAATACAGTGATTGAAACATTGAAAACCAATTAATGTTGATGAAGATATGTATATGTAAGGACCAGCAAAATGACAAGATCTAAACAGAAAACTTAGCTGCAATATATAATTGATCAACACATGACAAATCAAACTCAAATTTCTCAAAAAAACAATTAGTGGTAAAAAAGATCCAGCACTTACCAAACAACAAAGACAGTGAGGAATAAACAGAGCCAGGAAGCTTGGGACAAATGAAGGGTCCAAGAACAAAAGTAGGTATTAGGGTCACAACATCCAACCCATGTTGTTCTCCAAATTCAAGAACAGCTTTCTCAGCCAATGTCTTAGAAACTGCATATGACCAAGCAAATGGCTTCAAAGCTCTAAGAATGTTCACATCACTCCAATAACTCTCATCCATCACTTCTTCTTCTTTGCTCTGCCAGCAAACAGCAGAGGCACTAGAAGTGTAAACAACTCTCTTCACTGTCTTTGAGTTTAGGCATGCTTTTAGAATGCCTAATGCCCCATCAATGGTTCTTTTCGTCACTATTTCCTCAGGTTCGTTTTCTTCAAAATCAATTGGAGTAGCAGTGTGGAATATCCCAATGCACCCTTCAATTGCTGCACTGAAACTTTCTGGGTTGCTAAGATCAGCGTTGAAAAACTGTAGCTTTTGGGATGCACCTGGAAGATTTGTGAGGTAGCTAACATCTTTCTTGCGTTCTGCTAAATATTCATAAAAATATTATTGCACAATTTTGGTTACATAGTCATGATTATAACATGAATATCATATCATAATAATAATAATAATAACAACAACAACAACTAAAATATACTTAACATGTGATTGTTTTCAATTACATATGGAAACTATAATTTATTTTTATTATTTTAAGAAAATGTTAAAATCAAAAGGGTTACCTGGATCAGATCTAACAGTGGTATTAACAGTGTAACCATCTTCAAGGAGTCTCTTGATGATCCATGAACCAATAAACCCTGTACCTCCAGTTACACAAACTCTTCCTAATTTTCCCTCTTCCATTTGGACAGACTTCCTTTGGCGGTATATCCTTTTTTCTTTCCTCTAGTTTTAGTGTTGTTGGTTGTGCTTGAATGTTGATGGATATATACATATATATAGGGGTTTATTTTTCTCAGGTCATGATAAAACAAACCTTTTATACACGTATCATAAAAAGATGTGTCACTCTTTTTTTTGTTTTATATTTTTTCAAATAATTGGGTCTCACACTTGATGTATCTATGATATGAGATTAGGATTTTCCTACAACATAAGATTTATTTTTCTCATATATATATACACACACGCGTACCTTATATTAATATTAGGGGAAAGATCTGTTTACAAATTTTTTTTACAAATTACACTGAGTATGACCGGTCATACACTCTTGATTGATTGAAGTATAACTGGTTATACTTAGTGTAGTTTGTGAATAAAAAATTTATAAATATAACATTCCTTTTAATATTATAGTTAAATGATTGGGTGAAACAGTGGATTAAAAACAAAAATCTGTTTGATTTATGTTCTCCAAAATAGTTTTTAAATTTTAAAAATAATAAAACAAAAAAAGTTGTTTGGAAAAAGTTTTTTCATGTTATCTATTTTCAAATCAGCCTCTGCGTTTTTGTTTTAAAAATCAAAATAGCAAAACAAATAAGAGATGTTTTCAAAAGTGGGTTTTTTCTTCTTGTTTTTGTGGTGGCATTTTTGTAAATACAAGGATTCATTAATGGTATTTTTATAATTAAATTGATTTTTATTTTAATTTTAAATTATTTTTCGGTGACAATATTATAAATATGAGGATTCATTAATGGCATTTTTGTAAATAACTACAACACTGTTATAACTTTAAAACCAACTATATTCAAACAAGTTTTATTATTTTTTTACTCTCGAAATCAATTTTCAAAATTTATTCTCAAAATAGTTTTTAAAAACAAAAAAACAAAAACATATTCAAACACGTCCTAAATGTTTGGTTTATGTGGCTGAAACAAACGGGGCTGCTTGTAATTGCTGTTGGCGGACTTTATGTGTAGGAGATAAAATTTCTCTTATTTTTGGACCCTTAATTAATCAACTCGTAATGTTTTGGACCAACTCGTTCTTTTTTTTTTTGCATTACATAAGAATTGAACACACACCACTATACTACAAACACCTAACACACATACCCCACACCACTAGGCTAATCCTAGTGGATGGACCAACTCGTTCTTTTATAATAAAGAAATTCTCACTTCTAGGTGTGTTAGCCTCACACATAACTGTGATGTCCATCCAATAAAACGATTATGGCCCATATTTTTTCATCTATAAATACCTCGTCTTCATCATTGAGGGAATATTTTGCATTTATTATTTGTGTCCTTTTACCATTTCCCCTCTCTCAACCTTTGTTTGAGATATTCATGGTGACTCTTCTGTAGAGCTATTATTGTTTGTTACAATGTGATACTTCATCATGTGAAGGAAAACAGATGTAAGCTCATTTCCAAACAGTTCACATGAACATGTTTAATATCAGTTTATGTTTACATATATATATTTTTAAATCTTTTTGATCAAACGATTAATAGAAAATTTTATTTTGAAATAAATTAAATTCACAACAAAGAGCATGATTTCAGTCAACTACCAACAATTTGTCCTCTCTCTGATCTTCTGTTAATTGTACCAAATGGCATTAATCGATGCATATAAGTCACATGCTTCGTGTCCAAACATGTAGCACTCAGTTTACCCAACAACAAAAAACACATGCAGCACGCAAGATGTTAAAAATGGATCAATAGCTGTCACTATTCTTTAATATTTTTTTTTTCATTTAAATTATACTAACTGTTGTGTTGTTTCTATTTGTTATGACCATGAAAGTATAAATGCACCATGTACTAGTTAATTGTACAATGATTAGTGTACCCAAAAAAAAATTTGTACAATGATTAAACGTAGGGACGTGCATAGATCGAATCGAATAAGATTTTTTGAAAAATCGAACCGAATTGATTTAAATGGTTCAGTGGTTTAGTTCGGTTCAAAACTGGTTCGGTTCGGAAGTGGTTCGGTCCGGTTGGAAACGATTCGGTCCGGTTTGAAACTAGTTCGGAACCAGTTCGGGTCGACCCTATTTTGAAAAGAAAAGAAATTAAAAATTTAAAAAATAAGTTATAAAAATCAATTTGGTTCGGTTTGAAAATGGTTCGGTTCGGTTCGAAAACAGTTCGGTTCGGTTCAAAATGATTCGGTTCTTAAACTGGTTCTAAAAAACCAGTTCGGTTCGTGAACTGGTTCTTTAAAAATCGGTTCGGTTCATGAATTGATTTTTAAAAACCAATTATTTTAAAGGCGGTTCAATTGGGTTCGGTTCAATTTTTTGATTATTTTACATATCTCTAATTGAAACGTGTCTATAATATTTAGTGGACAAGTCATAAAGTATGTTTTTTTTTTAAAAAAAATTATCATTTCATTAATTATTAGACTAATGCGATAAAGTCGAATTGACCGTAAAAATATAAAGGCCATTAATCATGCTCTTCGTTTGAAAGACGCTTTCTGGGGAAGTATCATCGTCAAAAACTATCACCTCAACCACCAAATCATTCCCTAGTACAGAAAACGGTAATGGTTTGTTAGGAGCGTTGGTTTTGGAATACTCTTGATTAGTTCTTTAATCTACTTGGTTGAAAAACTGACAAAGAAATCGATGGAGAAAGCAAAGTCAGATTGAATTTGTCAACTTTTGCAGGCAAATAGTAAGTCTATTAATAAATGTAAGATATCTTTCCTCTCACAAATTAATTTTTAAAGAGGTTAGGGGTCTATTCTAATTTTAATGGAATATCGCCTTTAACTCTATCTAAACTTTTATCATTCTATTAATAAATATAAGATAAAGTTATCCATTTCTATAAAAAATCAATTCAACTCAAAATTTTAAGATAATAGGTAAGAATATTTTTAATGATTTATATTATTCTCCAACACACCTTCTCACGCAAGAGTCATTTGAGCTTGAAGTGTGAATATTGCTTAGGCCTAATGTTTTTGGTTTTATCCTGTGCTTATTTTAATTCCACTCGAAAGTAGGGGCGGTAAGAATTGAACTCGTGATGTGGTCACTTAAACTCTGATATCATGTACTTCAATCTAAAACCTTAAGGTATTGTTATCAAAAAAAAAAAACCTTAAGGTATTGGGTGAGGGTATTTTTAATGGTTTATATTATTCTCCAACATACACATTAGATTTTTTTTTAAATGACATATATTATTCTCTCCTTTTAAAAAATTTTAAAAAGTTCAGTTTTTTTAACTAATTATTCATTTTTTATAATTTTTAAAATATTTTCTTTTAATATAATTTCTAAAATTTTACTTAAATTTATTATATAGGTCTTTCTTACAAATTTCAATATTTTATATTTTAATTATTTTTGAAATTTTCCTGAATTTAAAAATATTCACGCAATTAATATGCAAAATACTAACTAGTTAAAAAAAATTATCAAAAGAAATAAAACAGATGCTCAGGAAGTCAAAAGAATTCCTAAATAAATTTACTTTGTTATATAAGTGTTTGTCCTTTTAAAGGACATAAAATTATGTCATTTTAGTTAAAATTAATATATTTTACAATGAAAGAAATAGAAATTATGGTGAAAAAAAATGAACAATATTTTTTAAATTTAAATATTAAATAAAAAATAATTTTGATTAAATGACTGTACTCTAAAGGATAAATATTTTTCTCTACAAAATAATTTTTAAATAAGTTAAAGTAGTGATGATCATTTATCCATACAAGAAGAAACATATTGTATATATTCGGAAAGTAATACTTTTCTGGCTGTTTAACAATAGTTCAAATCTAATTTAATAATATTTTATATTAAATCTAATGGCATATATAAATATAAGATCATATGTAATATTTTAAAAAAATAGTATAATACCTTTAAAAGAGTTAAGAATTCCTTACTTATAAGTTAATTTTGATAAAAGAATCCTTTTCACATAATTTATACAAGTTTTTTTTACAGAAAAATATTTTTACAGTTAATGTAGATAAGTTATCTGCATTTACTTCTAAAATGATATCGTTTTGGAATTGAAAAATTAGAAAATTATAATTATAAAGACTATAATAATCCTAAAATAAATTAAAATTATAAAAATACCATGATTTTCGTCTCAAAATGACATCGTACTGAATTTACTACATATAACTTATAAAAAATAATTTTTTTTTAAGTACTTTAATATTTTGAACGTTTCAACTTTCAACCTTTGTTTTCCTACTGGTGCAATTCACTGACAGTACCCAATTCCTTGTTAATTCATTAAAAGTTGACTGCAACTAATTATGAAAAAATATTTACTACCGTCAACTAAAAAAGTATATATTTCTTAATTTTGGCTTACTACCATCAATTTTTTTTTAAAAAAAAGAAAAATCACTATTGACTTGTTTGTCTTTTGTGTTTTTGGTAAGGATGACTTCACTTAGTCTTTTTTTTTTTTTTTACTATTGACTTGACATAGTCTAAGTTGATAATTCAAACTTGTACAGCTAGTAACGTGGATGCAACCTTTATCTACCATAATTAATTAGTATTAATTGTGACGTTTTTTATTTACTGTTAGTTGTATAATTAATTAATATTTTGACCTATGCATCGCTTAAGTATATATTACTATTCTTTTGATTTTAATTACTTAGTGAATTATTATTATTATTATAGTTAAACAGTAATGTTTTTATAAAAATTTATTTAATTATTATAAAACATGCTAATGGTGAAGTAGTCATTTTTTTTAGGTTGCTTAACTTCTCATGTTGCTACAAAAAAATTTCTTTTATGGAATTAATAATATAATTATAATATTAAAGTTATTTTTTTCTCTCCGCCATATTAGTCGACAATTATTTTTAAAAAAGTAACTTCTAAAATTACAACTATGCACTACCCTTAGTACATAGTTGTAATTGATTTTGCCTTTCTTTTATCTCCTATTATGGATCGTTGTCACTTCTCCCTTTTTTCTTATAGTGAGAATTTTATATATATATATATATAT